CACAAAAGTCTTTCAGGAGAAAACACTTGAGCTCCATCAGATTACAACCAACAAAACAAGTCAACAGCATCATGAAAATTGAAAAACTATACAGCGTGTTTCCTCATGTATACTGCAAAAACATTTTAGTTCTTAACTTTAGGCTTTTTACCCTTAAAAAAGAAACACATCTGTCAGTTGGATAAGATAATCCCACTTGTTCCTAGTGCAGTTTGCCTTGTTTCAAGATTTTGTCCAGATATGAATATCTTCAAACAAAACATGAACAGGCAGATAGCTGCACTACTACCAAGAAAGTCATGCTCGATTGCAGAAGATTACTGAAACTTGCATTGAAGTTTGTGTCGGAAACAAGTAAAAGAATCTTTACTCGTTGGTTGATTTATTGATTTCGCTTCTTGTAAGAAAATAAGATTTTACTATTCAGGAAGGGTTGGCCAAACATTGTATTTTCTTTGCCAGTGTGTTCCACTGTAATTGTTTGTCTAATACAAACAGAGGATTAAATTCCATGATGCCAAGTTTCAGTTTAAAAAGAGTCTTTGGATCCAGCTTTTTACAGTCCTTAATTTCCTTTAACATGGTCTCAGGCATACAGCCAACTTGTCTGAATTTCCACCCCTTCAGTGATCATTTTTGCATTATTTGCATTTTTATTCTTACATGGCTTCATGCTAAAAAAAGACAATGTCTGCTAAAACACTGAAGCTCATCCTAAGTCTTGGGCGTACAGCGCGATGTGAGTAATGACAGAGGAGGAGAGTTGAGTTAATGCCCACCTGTCAACAAGTCTTCTCTCTAGTAGATCACTTGTGCCTGGCTAGATGACAGTTGCAGGAAGTTTCTGTCATACTTGTGATTGCTGCGTCTGTTTATAGAGTGGCTACAAGACCCTAGTCGATCTAGTTGGGATGCATGAGAAAAAAATTTGGGGGAAAAACATTGCCGTGTAGAAAGGCTTCCTGTCTGAGCTCTCAGTGAATTACATGGTCTGTGATTGTTTTTCTCTTCTGAGTAAGGGCTGGGATAAAACTTTTGAAGTTTCCATCTCAAAACTGTTGCGTTTTAGTTGCCTACAGTTCATTCAGATGCTGTGGTTGTAGTCATTGTCATTGAGGCTCAACAACTATTGGATGAATTGCCCTTAAAATGTATTTGTATGAACTTTGCTAATTTGCAAACGTCAGCATGCAAGCTGAACTAAGATGGTGAACATGTTAAGCAATATTTGTACCATATAAGCTTAACTTAAATGTTTCTGTTGCCTAACCTTAACCATGCTATACTGTGTTTGCTATGTGTTGAAATTGTAGAAATAACTGATGAAAAATGTTGCCATTGAACATTGAATCCAGTTTCACAGAATCCCCCAAAATAAGCATTCTGTCTTGCAAGTTGATTGCGATTCAGTGCAGACACTCTCCTGAAAGACAGATGATGAGGTCTCATAAAGACCCTGGGGGAGGTGCTTGCCTGTGATTCGTATCTGTGTGACCCTATTAGCAAAGAAGCAATGTAGGAGCATTACCTTGTGTGCTCATTACCTGGGGGTCACCTGCCTGCAGGGGGCCAGGGTCAAGGAATATATATAATCTGGAACTAAATACATCTTGTACAATAGAACAGATTGAGAGGTGAGTGAAGCAAGTTCCCAGCGACCATCATTCATATGAACCATCTTTTACTGATTGGAAAAAATGTGATAGTCCATAATTTACCTAATTTCAAAATTGGTCTCTATATAAGGGTGTAATACAGTAAAATACTGGTACCTTGTCCTGGTAGTGGCAAGTGACAGCCAGTGAAGATCAACATGTTGATGAAGTGTCAAATATTTACAGCCACACTGCAGAAAGAGGGGACTACATAAAACCTGAAATCAGGCTGCAGATTGAAAGATAAATTCTCTGTAGGGATTGATGTTAAAAGCTAAAACTATAACCATTTGTATCTTTAATTAAGATATAGATTTTTCTTCCCCTATTCCAAAGTATGTCTTAAAAACAAAAATGTAATAAATGAATGTCTTTTCCCCCCGGCGTCTGCTTTAAAATTGAAAGTGAATTATATTGCAGGAAGATCCACTTTGCTTTATAGTTCAATTCCGGAACATTTTAAGACATTATGAAACAAGCTTTATGTTATTTGTGTCACTAAACCTATGTGGAATTGTTCGGTATTCTGTACACTGTGTTCCCACTCTAGTTTTTCTCTTTTACATCTTGTGGCTTTTTGGCCTTGACATATACTTTATGATGTTCATCTGAAATTGAGTGAATTTGACACAATTATGGCAACCCATGGCATGAACCTTTAAGACCTCTCTCAGTATTGCTCTTTTCCCTGAAACCACATTAAAAAATGAAATTGAAAAAAAAGGGAGAAGTCGACTGGCATGTGGTTAGCTCTTCTGCCACCCACTCAGTCCCATGTAGCTTATGGGTTTGACCTCAAGCCGTGTGGTGAGCTTTTACCATACAAAGTCGTGTTTGAATAGAATGCTAAAAATCAATCTCACT